AGGCTTTTTGTTTTATTTGTACCTGCCATTTACCTATAAAACGCAAAATCTTCTTTCTTTTGTTTTGTTTTTTTTTAATCACTGAATTATTACTTGAGAGAGTTAATAAAGATGATTTTTTCTTATCATTTGTAATTCATAACATGCTCACCAAACACTGCTATGGATATTGTGGATTAAAACAATCAAACCAAAGGATATAAAAGTTAAAAAAACAGATGAGTGTCTGTATTTTAAACACCAATATTCACTTTCCTAGAAGTATGGATAGTACAGGGTGTTTGACATTTTACTCATTTTAACTGGAGTAGACAGTAGTCCTGTGTGTCATACCTTCTGACCAAGTCTCTGTTTAGAGCAACTGAACAAATGAAGTAATGCAATGGTCATTTTCTTATAAACTTTAGTGCAGATAGGTCATTAATTCAAACCAGAAAAAAATGCACAGGAACTACAGCGATACATAACCAAAACTTCACAATCTATAAAATCAAAGGTTAAAATCTTTAAAATTGGTGCACGGTTTTGTATTTGAAGTAGGTATAAGATACACAGTGCCTGAAATAAAAGCAAAAACCTACTATGTGATACAAAAATACTAGTGAGTGTACAAATTTTAACAGCATAATTTGTGGGCATTATCCTTAGGTGTTACAATACTGCATGTGGTATAAATATATATCAAATGTTACCTATAGGATATTTATTAAATATCTTTAGAATATTTGTGAAAACATGGTTTAGTGTAAATGTGAAATTATCAATATAACCATTGAAACAATCCCTTCCAATTATTAAGAATCCCGAATCTTAATTAGTGAAATACTACGCTGCATATAATAAAATGATAATTGCACACACATACTAGTTAAACAGCCAGTTTTTAGGTCTGTGCAATTACCTGCACAGTGACAGAGAACACTGCAGACCAGAAGAAGGATTTTGCGGAAGGAGAGTGCTTTCCTATAAATAATAAGTATGTGCACGAATGCCAAAATGCATGGACCTGCAATTTAACTTCACTGAAATCATAGTATGTATCATCAGGATTGGCCTCTTTTTTTGCTAAGAGCACTGAAAAAGCAGAAAATGGCTACACACTCTTCATTCTCAAGTACAAATACAGATTGTAGACCATTAAATTAAGAAATGCATTTCAATGTTTAAATTTAGACAGACCTATTTTTCTATCACTAGCAGTAGCACAAACAGTTCCGTATTACAGCCACATTCAAGAGGAGAGGGAATTGGGTAAAACTATCTCTATTTCTCTGTTAAAATTGACTAGTTAAATATTACAGTCCTCGCTTTTCTGTATAATTAAGCTTTTGTTCAACCATGAAAAAAACAGAAACTGATTGCTTGAAAATGAGCTCCATGACCTTTGTCCCAGTTTGTCACCTCTGACCTTTAATTTGAAGACCCTGCATATCAATTCATTCTATTTTTAGAAGCAGAATGTTAGAAAGTCCGTGTATTTTTAAAATAGTTACCCTCCTATATGAAACACATCGGGTTGTTTCTGGGTTTTTTTAGCCTCTACACATCAAACCAGAGTAGCATATTTGCTCTTTATTATGCAACTGCATTTGAAACAGCCAGTGTGCAATTACAGAAAATGAACACTTGTCTCTGTGGTGAAAAAAAGCTTTTTTATTTTTTGTAATGTACTGGAGATGCTGAAGCACATTAAAGTGAATTTAGAAAAAAAAAAAAATCTTCAGTGTTGCATGCCTTTAGAAATTTCACTGGCTTTTCTTAAAGAGAGGAAGAAAGAAAAAAAGCTCACGTTTGTGGGTTTTATTGCTGCTAATGGATACCTGTTTTTTTTCTTGAGCCTTCCCCATACTAGCAGTGTTTTTTTCGTTCTCACTGATGACAGGCTGTTTTGATATTAGCTTTCAGAACGTCCTTTCATAAACTGAACCTGTGGTTAAAAATAGCAAATAGCAAGTTCCTGTCTAGTTGCTGGTTTCAGCTGCACTCCCATTTTACGTAGGTAACACTGTGCTCCGCAAGTCGTCTACAAAAAAAAAAAAAAAAAAAATAAAATCTTTACTGCTGGAAGGGCTCCTTTTCTAAAGAAGAAAGCGCTATAGTGTTTCTGTCCCTGCTGTAACCCCCAGCATCCAATACCGCAGCGACACCGCGCACCGGCTTTCGCCGAGAGCCTCTCCCCGCCGTGACCCCGCGCGAACCCGCGGGGAACACGGGAGGGGCGCGCCCCCCAAAGCCCCGCCGGTGCCGGTGCCGGTGGGCGGGCGGCAGCCGGGACCAACATGGCTGGCGGCGTTCAGCACCCGGGACAGCGCCGCCGCCGCCGCCGCGCCCGGGGGCGGGGCCGCCTCCCCCGCCAGGCCCCGGCCCCGGCCCCGGCCCCGGCCCCGGCCCCGGCCTTCCCCCCGGGGCCCCGGGCCCCGCCAGGCCCAGCCGCTCGTCGCCTGCGATGCCCGGCACCTCCTCGCGCTTCTGTCCGCCCGGGGAGGGTGGCCCGGGCTCCTCACTGAGGGGAAAATGGTTCCTCCGGAGACCGCCTGCCGCCCCAGCGCCCCGCTCGCAGCCTGGCCTGTTCCCTCAGCCGCCCCCTTCGCGCGGGCTCGAGCTGCCATCCAAACAAAACGCTACCGCGAAGATACCGGAAAAAAAAAAAAAAAAAAGAGGAGGAACAAATATTTTAACCGCTGGGGCTTTAAAATTCACTTCTGTGCTTGGGGATGCGAGCTGTGCTTCGTAGCAGTGGCTGAGGCAGCAGCCACCCGGGGCCTACAAGGGAGATGGTCTGGAGTTTCCACCTTCATTTATCATCATTTTTCCTCTTCTGGAATTTTTGATACATACCAGCTAATACATTTTCAGATTTAAAAAAAAAAAAAAAAAGTTTTGATAAAACTGAAATGGCAGTACATACCCTTTACAAAATGTATTTTGAAAAGAGTGCAAGACAGCTATTTTTTGTTGCATGCACACGGGCAGTCTGTACTACAGCTGCATTTTTGTAACTACTACACGGGACAAACATCAGCCATAATCACTACTTTTGCCTTACATACATGGTTCATTTCACTACAGCAAAGGAAACTTGGCTTCCTGGTATATTAATAATTCAGGTCATAATTTAATTCAATATTGATTCTTACTATTCTATACCAAGGGGAAAAAAAAGCCTTCATCATTCTTTAAAGAACTATGGCTTAGTTGCATATGTTATCAATAGTTTTCCAAACAAGCTTGTTACTGTTGTCTCCTCCAAAGCTTTAAGGTTTTTTTAGTGTGTTTTAAAAAAATAAATGACTGGTAGTTTTGTAAAGCAAAGCATACAGTTATCACTCTAAGAGTAAACATGCACTACTGCATTTGTAGTACAATATAACATCCAGATACCACTGAAACTATACACAAATTTGGTTGTAGCTTATTTAAAAGTAGCTAGCTATAATTATTTTCATAGTATCTGATGACTTGTTCATGACAGGACATGTCTCTGTACTTGCAATTATTAATAGTGTTTCCCTGCAAGATGTGAAATTCCAAAACAGGCAATTAGATGGAGGAAAAAAAAAAAAAAAAAAAAAAAAACAACACAACAAAACCCAAACCACCAGCTCTCTGTATGGCCTATTTAAAGAGAACCGTGAGATCAGTTATATAAGGAAAAAGCGTAAAGTCTGTAAACAAATTGGTAGAGTGTACTACTGTTTCATCCCAGCCCTGTAAGAACGTCATACATAATTTACTCACAACCACTAACAAGCTAACAACTGGTAAGAGAGAAACAAGTAAATGAATGAAATCTCTTTAGGCAGTATGGTTATCAGATTAAAATGGGCAATTGCCTCGTGTTAAAGCAAAAAGAGATTTAAAACTACCCTCGAGTTCTAAGGTTTATTTAGATACGCCAATGCCGCGTTGCTGTAATAGCTTGGGCAAAAATATTTACGGGCGCTGCTTCTGTTTGCTTATTTTTGAATTCATTCGCCAGCCGTTTGGCCGAGTCGCTGTGCGATTTACCACAGCCCGGCCGCTGCAAGTTGCCGGCGTCCGGCCCCGGTCGCCGCCGCCGCCGAGGCGCGGGAGGAGCCGCGGTCCCGCCCAGCCTCCTCCGCCCCCCGCCCGAACCGGCCTCCCCGCCCCGGGCGTGCAACCATACAAGGAGAAACGAGGCGTTTCGGAGGCATTTCTGCACTTTTATTTCTTCTCCCTCGCGCTCTGCGTCCCGTCGACACCGCCAACTCCGCCTCGGACCCCAGCCGTGAGGCGACGGGTGACCGTTACCCGCAACGCCCGCTCCGCCGGGGACGCGGCCCGGGCACCGCCGCCCCGTCCCTCACCCCGCGGGGCAGCCGCCGCCGAGGGCCGGCGGGCAGCGCCCGGCTGCGACCCCGCGTTCCCCGCGGCTCGGCAGGGAGCCATTCAAAATGGCGGCCCCGCCACCACTCCCGTTTAAAACACACACACACACACACACACACACCCCCTCGCACCGCGCACACGCCGCGGCGCCTGACACCCCGCCGGCGCCGCCCGGCCCCCTCGCCCCGGTAGTTACCACAGGGCGGTCAAACCCCGCGCCCTTCGGGGCGCACCGCCGCGGCCCCATCCTCCGCTTTCCCCGGAGGGGGCTGCCGTGCCGCCGTCCATCCACCTTCCTCCCCCGGCTTTCCCTTCCCTTCCGCGCCGGTCCCCGCCCGCTCGCCCCCCCACCCCGCCGCCCCGCAGGCTCCGGCCGGGCAGTCCCCGGCACCCGGCGGCGGAGCGCGGGCCGCCCCCTGGCGTCGGGCTGCCGCACCGTCCCCGCGGCCGCTGCCCGCCCGTTACCTCGGCCCCGGCGGCTCTCGGCGGAGCCCCGCGCCCCGCTCGGCGGCGAGGGGAGAGGCACCGGCCCCTGCGCACCCTCCCTCTACCGCGCCCGCGGTCGTCGTTCGCGTTTGACGTGCGGGGCGGACCGGCATCCCCCCCCCCGCCCCCCCCGGCCCCGCCGCCGCCTTTCTCCCCACGCTGGAGCGGGGGAGCCGCGGCTCAAGGCACCGACAGTGGCCCCGCTCGAAGGCGGCGGCGGAGAAGGAGGGGGGCGCGGAGCAGCGGCTAAAGGTAGGAAAAAAAAAAAAAAAAAAAAAAAAAAAGGTGCGAACCCGGAAGTACACCCGCCACGCCGCCGCCCGCAGGGAAACACCCGCGCCCAAACACAACAATGCGGAGCCGCTCCGCCTTCGCCGGGCGCAACTTTCCCCCCCCCCTCCCGCCCCCCCATTTCCCCCGCCCGACCCCCGGGCTGGGACATCACCCGCCCGCCGCAGTCGCCCGGGGCCGGCGGCAGGCGGAGCTGCCGGCGCCCCGCGGCAGGTGCCGGTGCCGGCGGGAGGGCGAGACCCGCCGCGTCCGCGGAGGAGAGGGGAAGGGAGCTCGCTTACCTCCCGCGCGCCATGGTGGCCGGGCGGAGCGGGGCTGCGCCTGCGGCTGCCGCGGAGGGGAGGCGAGGCGAGCGCGGCGGGGGGAGGCCCGGGGCACGCACCCACCGACGGGCACCCCCGGGGGAGCGGGAAGGCGGAGGGAGGCGGGTGGGTGGGGTGGGTGAGAGGAAGGAGGGAAAGGGAAAGGTTTTTGCCTTCCCCAGCCGCTGGGAGGACGGAGCGGCGGAGGAGGAGGAGGAGGAGGAGGAAGCGAGCCGCAGCGGCAGGGAGGGAACCGGTGCTCACGGCGGGGAGGCGGCAGCCGGCGAGGAGGGGCGGCGGCGGCGGCGGCCAGACGCGGCCCCAACACCGCCTCACGCCGCAGACCGCCGCGCACCTGCCCGCCGGCGGGCGGGCGGGCGGGCGGGCGCCCGGCGGCTGCGCGCGGGGGCGCTCGAGGGCAGCGCGAGCCGGCTGGGCGGGGCCGGGCGGGGCGGCACCGCCCGCGCCCCCTTTCCCGTGAGGCGCCCCGCCCGCCTCCCCTCCGCCGTCCCAAACGTGTCCGGAGCCCCGGCCGCCCCGCAGGGCTCTCGCCGTCCCCTCCGCCCCGCGGGGCAGCCGTGGGGCCCGGCTTACCTCGGAGCCCCGCGGCCTCCCGCTCGCGGAGGTCGAGGGGGGCTTCTTCCTGCGGGACACAGCCCGGAGGGGCACCGCTCGCCGCCGCCTCCCCCGGCGTTCGAAGCCGCTTCTTTGTCTCAGGGCCGCGTGTCGTGGAGCCCACTGGGCTCCCTTGGGGCGGGACGGGGGGGGTGTTGCACCTGGCTCCAGCCGCCCCGAGGACCGGGACTCCTCCAGCTGCAGCGCCTCTCGGGCAGCTGCTCACCCTCACGGGGGGGGGGGGCTCCGCTCTTGTGCCGAGGGTCTCGCACCGCCTGACGCCGCCGTAACCGGCTGCAGCCCCGCGGCCCGCTGCTGCCGCTGGGCCTCACGCGATGTGCTGGCTGTGGCCCCGAAGCAGGCACATCTGGCCGCGCAACTGGCTCATCCAGAGCTCGTCGGTTCCCAGTTACCTCACACCGCGATCGGGTTCCTTTCCCGGCGCGTGAGACTTTATTAAACCCAAAGTTTCGGTTTTTTTCTAGCCCGTTATGACTTACCCGTAGAACACCCCAATGGCAGTTTGTGTACCGTCATGAGCACACTTCACCCAAGCATATATATATAACTATATATATATATATATATAGTCCATTGTTCTGGAAATAGCAGGGTTAACAAAGCTTGGTTACCTAGGGATTAATGTTCCACATTCTTTTTCTACGTGTCCCCTTTACGTAGGCTCCCACAGTCCCCGCTTCCCACATGCACTAGCAAAATGGAGATGGTTCCCAGCGGCGTGTATGCTGGCAGGCTCACCGGGCACCTGTGCAGAGGGGAAGCCAACGGGTAAGTCGAGCGGTAGGTAACTGGTGAAATGACACCCTCTTTCCTCTGGTTGGGGACACTGATTAGCAGTCTCCTTTCTCTGACCCCTGATTTTCTTGACACTTGGTATTTTTGGGTCCTCTATGTTGAATGCGCTGAAATTGTAAAAAGGGTTCAGAAGTTATTTGGGAGCAAAGAGATCGTGCGTTTTCTTAAGAGACCAGGATAAAAATGTTGTATGTGGAAAAGATGGCTTTCTGAAGTGCTCGTTTCTTATTCAGTAGTGAGCCCAGTTCACATAGGTTTCTATGACCGGGCATTAGTATGCCTGCCTTGATCACAAATTCCCGTTCTTGGGCTCTGTGGATTTAATTTTTGAAGCTCCAGTAAGCCTTTCAAGAATTTATTAGCACTGTTTGAGTGCAATTAAGGGCACAGTCAGTGCTAAAATACTTAGCGTGCATAGCTTTTTAACTTCTTTTTCAGAAAAAATGCTTTATACTGAGTTTTGCTATGTGATCTTAACCTGTGATCAAAGAAGCTACGGAGCCTCTCGAGCCTTCAAATACTGTGCCTTACTGAGCTGAGAAAGGTTTTGCGGTGGTCAGAGAAATATTTTCAAGGCTCGGGACAGAGTCTTGTGCAGGGAGTCACCAGATTATGCCGTTCTACTTAGACTTCTCTAGGTGCAGCCCTAGAAAGTTACTTCATTTATGTTTCCCAGATGACACTGAAGTAGCCACATTTTGCTAGTACTCCTAACATTTGACTCTATTACCTAAAATTTAGCGCGCACTCTGTGTGTGTGTATATAAATCTAGCCCAATATATAGCTATATTATCCCAACACAGCTCTTGCTGTATTTTGCTAACAGTTTGAGAACGCGTGATCATTTCTGAAAAACAAAACCAAACCACGATCAGACTTGATTTCTCACTTAATTTGTTGTTTATTTCTAATAGATGAGGAAGAGTTCCTTCCTGGTCCCTGTTATTTGTGCTGGGATATTTTTGCAGAAAAAGAAACCTGCCCACCTGCTTTGTTTTTGTACCCTCAGCATCTGACATGATCTAATTTTATAGCAACTTTGTATAAATCAAGTTATATACAGGACATAAGCAGAATTGAACTCTTTCAATAAATTAGAGAACTGCAAACAGTTTGAAAGGCTGTGAAAACATTGCACATTCCTTTCTATTGCTTTCCATTTCTCAGATTTTTTTTCCCTGGGCTTGTTCATAGGGTTTCCCCTGAGAAATTGGTGAAAAATTTGTTTCTTCCTACACAGATTAAACAGTTCTAGGCATTTTCATGAGGTATGATATTTTTCCTTAAGGTGACCTGTGAAAGTGACCTGACATCCCTGGTTAAAAAGAAAAAGCACTGAAGATACTTTGGAAAAAAAATTAGTACTTCAAAAAGCAGTTTTAATTTTTCATGCTGTATGTTCCACAAAACTCAAACCATTTAGTCTGTTTGTGTTGTGCTGCTATCAAAAAATGATTTCTGGAATTGTTCACGAAAACGTGTAATCAAATCATTATATGTTTTTCTAGTGAGGTCTACTAAAGCTTTTTCACTTTTGTAAAAAAAAAAAAAAAAAAAAAAAGAAAAGATTCGGTAAATAGTGCTGTTTTCCATTCTGTAATGGTGTTTCCAACTGTGGGAAATACTCATTGAATGTTTGAAAAGAAGGAGCTGAGATGTTGACTGTGGGGAGGGAATTTCTATGGTTCCGGGTAACACCTTCTCCAGCACGTTCCAGGGTTTTGGAAACCAGTCCAAGAATGGTTGCTCCTATTCCACCCCACTGCTATTTGGACCAGAGAACACACTTACTCATTTTATCCTGCAGAGAGTTCTTTGTGCTGCCTCAGGTTTCCCATCCTTCCACGTTTATCCTCTTGGCACTCTGTTTTGGTCATGCTATGCTGCCTGTCACGACAGTATCATCTCCCAGTTGCCAGGCCTTTCCTTCATTAGTCTTGCTGTATGCCAGCTTAATCAAGGTCTCGGTAGGCACTTCTGGAGATTGTGTATAGGTTTATCTGCAATATTTCTACGAACTGTTACTTGTTTTAAGTGGGAGTGTTTGTGTCAGCTATTATTAAAATTGTCTACAAATTTTCACTTAGAAGATGGATTTCCAGTTGCTTGTATCTTTGGCAAGCTAGCTCTTTGGTATGAAATGTTTAATGCCTCCTGTTACAGGCTGTTTACATTTTTTTTCCCAGTCATTTCCAGGAAGAAGATTTAAAAAATACCTGTTTGGTCCATGTTAAGATACTATTTTATTCAAAATGATCTAGCAGTCCCAACATTTAGAGCGGGCACTTAAAATCTGGTTTAACGATAAGAAAATGCCTTCTGTTTGTGCAGGTACTCTGTCCAGACGTGGCTGAGTTATAACCCCTTGCCAAATCACAGTTTGCACGCACTGAGAGATTTCTTAACAGCTAAAATCTGACAGAGCCTTGGGTCCAACGAAAACACAAGTCACTTCCAACACTGAACGCTGAGCAGCCTGTGTGCACCGGGTCTTCTGCAGCAAATGGGTAGTTGACATACACACTGCCCCTCCTTGCCCGGGCTACAGAATCTCAGGTAAAACTTTCCATGGATGCTTTTAGCTTCTCCATTTCCCAAACAGGTTCTTGTTTGGAAACTAAGAACAGGGAATTTCTCTCTTGTCCTTTTAGTGACCCTGCTTGCTAACATCTTGGAAGCATGAAGGAAGAAGCTGTCTGAGTCAAATGGAAAAAAAGACAAATGCCAGACCAGGATGAGATAAAAAAAATAGATTAAGAGGAGGAGTCTCCTGAGATCAGGACTGTTCAAGGGGCAAAAAGCTAAGTCTAGGAATGGGAGCAGAGGCAGAGACTCACTGCCTGAGAGCATTTCACTTCGTGTCAGCGTGTGTATGTGCCAGCATAGTGTAATCCACAATATGTGAAGTATGAGTTAATGAAGACCAGGGTTACTGTTGGCTGGAGGAGCTGCCATGTGTATCTGTGGGAAGTAGCAGCATCTCTCCTCTTCGTTGTGAGGGGCAGGGACTGGGAGTATGCGTGGGGGAGACTGACTACAAAACCATGAGTGAAGCATGGGAAGTTAGTGGGCGAGCAGGATACACTGAAAGAATAAAGGAAAAAAAAGGGTCTGGGAATGCAGTGGAGAAGAAAAAAAGTGATTAGACGCTTGTCCGCAAGATGGGGGCTACAAGAGTCTTGAAATAGATTTGATAAGGAACCGTGGTAGACGAAGGCAAGATAGAAACATGGAAAAAAATTGGGAGTGGAAACAGTATACGCAGCTGATGTGTGTGTGTGGGGGGGGTCCTGTGTGCAACCCCCTTCCTTTCTGGGTGTGTGGCTGCCTGGGCTCAGGGCCAGCTTGGAGATAGTATAGCTGGTAGCCTTGACAGAAAACGCTAGAAGAAACCTCAGTGAGGGCCTGCCGCTCCTTCGCCCGGGAGCTGTTTTTAAGCTGAGGCTCTCACCCTTGTTCCCGGCTTACGCTCCACTGCAGCTGCGCTACAGGCCACGGCCACGCCTGTTGGTCTGGGCCCCGGCGGGTGACGGGCTTGACCTCGGGCCTGCCTCATCCCCATGGGCTTGATCTGGCTGGCTGGTAACTCTTGGCCGGCCTTGGTGGCCACCAACAGACCTGCTCTGTGCCCTGGTCGGCGAGGCCCCTGCCCCGCAGGCCTCTGCCGTCGCCCGTGGCTCCCGGCTCCCCTTCCCCAGCCGAGCAGCCTCCCCTCGCTGCCTCTGGCACTGTGGACGCGCCGTGGAACTTCTTCTACAGTTTCGCGTGCCACCAGTGGTCTCGGGAGCAGTAACAGAGGAAGATTGCACCTTCAGGTTTGGAAGGTGTATACCAGCTATCTACCCTAACGGTCTCAAGCCTGGTGATGCCTCATATGACTACCATTTACTCCATTTAACCCCCTTTTCATTTATTTTTTTTAAAAACATATCGAGTCTACTGTAAAACTCAATCAAAGGAAAATTACTGCAGTTGCAAAGCTAAGTGTTCCCTGCGTGTTGGCAGCAGAACTGATATAAAATGTGCTACAGAAGGACCCTGGTGAGGGTCTTGTTTTCTGTTTCCTGTTTTCTTTCCCCCAGAACTGCCCATGCGTCAGGAAGGTCCAAACTGTGCTCTGTTTCGTAGCCTGCAATGGCTGGATGCAGTTACAGAACTTTCTCTTTTCTTCTTATAGTCACTAGTCTCCTTCTTTGCTCTTTGGGATTGTTCTAATTTTTTAACGACCCAATGAAAATGTTAGTGGCACAGAAATTTCCTATTTTTCTTCTGTCTTCCTCCTGTTTTATTTGGTTTTGCTAGTGGGGCCAAAGAAAGGAAGTGATTTTTTTTTTTAACTTAGTGTGGAAAAGCTGTTCCAAAATATGCTGTTCTGCTTTATTTTGTGGCCTTGTGAAAATCATGCAGCATTTTATGAAGCTTTAATTTTTAATATAAGATTCTCAAGAACGTTCCACTTGCAAACCTAGACAGATACCTAAGTACATGATCATTCAGTGTGGTAATCAGAGAAAAGTATTTTATCATAAATGACTTTTTAGACATTTATTTAGTTGCATCTAAGTCAATTGCATTTCAGTCAAGCCTTTATTCCAGGCACACTAAGAGTACTCTGCCAAGCCTCAACTGTTGACTTCTCCACACCTTTTCTGAACCAATATTTACCACGTTTACAAGACTGCATTTAATTCCAAACCAATAGCTACTTTACCTTCTTCAAATGCTTGATCATTTCTGTCCTTGTTCAGTGGCTCAGATACACTAATTTGAAAGTTGAGCCTATGCTCGTTGTTTAAGCTGGTGCAGAAACTGCGTTGTGTGCATCCAGAAACTTGCCACGACATCAACTGGTGATGGGTTGGTCAGGAAGGCCAAACCAAAGAGGAAGCTGTGAACCCTCTCAGTCAGCGCAGATCCTGCTTTCTGCTTTGTAGACCAAGGCCACATGTGCAACTCCAGAAAAAGTGGTGTTGGCTTGGACTTTCCTATTAATGTGAATGAGTGTGCCGTGTGTTTGTGTCCTGGGTTTGAGTGACTGGTGGGGTTTTTTGGTAGCTGGGGAGGGGGCTATAGGGGCGGCCCCCTGTGAGAAGCTTCTCAAAGCTCCCCCAGCTTCAAGTCAGCTCCACCTCTGCACCAAAACTGAGCCAATCAGCTGCACCTCTGTGATAATGTATTTAAGAAGGGACATGGTGAGCAGGAGTTGCTGCAGCTGCGTGAACACCAAGGTCAGTGGAGGGACGGAAGAAGAAAGGAGGGGGGAGGTGTGCCGGAGCAGAGACCCCCCTGTATCCTGTGGTGAGATGGTAGGGCGGCCCCCCCTGCCACCCATGGAGATCTACGGTGGAGCAGACACTGATTTATGGCCTGTGGCTTCCACCCGATTGATCAAGGTGCTGTGCCCGAAGAAGGCCGGGGTCTTGTGGCAAAAGGCAGCCCCCGCTGCTGTAATTCAGCGCTGGGAGGATTGCAGCATGTGGGGGTGTCCCACGCTGGAGCAGCTCGGGAAGGGCTGCAACCGTGGGAGGGACTCCAGTCAGAGAAAGTTGGTGACCCACGATGGAGCAGTGTGGGGAATGCTGCGGCCTGTGGGAGGGAGTCCAGTCGGAGAAAGTTTGTGGAGGACTGTCTCCTGTGAGAGGGGGACCACGATGGAGCAGGAGGAAGAAGTTCCAGAAGCTCCCCCCACCGCAGCTGGCTGAAGAGGCAGCGCTGACTGCACCCCCCATTCCCTGCCCCTGCGCCACTGGGGGAGGAGGTAGAGATATCGGGAGCAGAGCTGAGCCCGGGAAGAAGGGAGGGGTGGGGGGAAGGTGTTCTCAAGATGTGGCAATGCTTCTCACTGTCCTACTCTGCTACGTGTTGTTAGTGTCTGTAATAAATGTAGGTGCTTTTTTTCTTCCCCTAACGATTCTGGCTTTTGCTTGTGCCCATAAAGGGGAACTTTCTCCCCATCCCAGTCCCATCTCAAACCCCAAGCCTGGCTCTCTGTCCCTTCTTATTGCTGGAAGAGAAGGGAGAGAGGGTAGCTGCGTGGTTGGCAGTTGGCTGACAACCAGGCTCAAACCACGAGAGTTTGTCACAGGTATTGGTTTTATATTGAGAAAAAAGACAAATATTTTGCTCTTGACTAAACAGGGTATGTTGGACTACTGCTCTCGATCCGTCTGTTCCCCCCGTTATGTTTTGTATCATGGATGGAAAATCCACGTGCCCAGGTGTTCAGTGCTGATTTACATGTTCAGGGATGTGAAGACTCTTTGGCCACATCTGCATTAGCACAATGAACAGAGCCAGGGCAAAGGCCAGAGCGCTGGTTGCGCGCAGTCCGTGAGGTGGTTTTGTGCCACCCAGGCCTCGCTGAAATGATCGGTGCCGGGCTGTGCTTGGGGAACTAGCATGGGCCAAAGCCAAGCCCTAACATGCAGCTTGCTTTTGGCCTGGTGGCGGGGATA